GGCGTTCAGAACCAGAAACAAAGAAACGAAACAAGCAATAAAACACCGAACCGTTGCCGTCAATCTCTTCTATCACAGCTCTTGAATCTCCCTTTTTCTTTTTTCACAATCAATCTCAACTATTTCCTCTTCTGAATCTCCTCTCGACTCATTTTCTCAACTTTTCCCTGAATTCTCTACTGGTTCCTCGGAAAATCCATTTTACGCATTCGACCTCGAACCTATCATCGATTTCGAAGCCCTATTCCCTGGCTCTTATTCTCCGACAACAGAGAGCTCCTATTTCCCAATTTCGAAGATTTCCCTGAATTATTCAATCTCACAACTCCTCCTCCAGAACAAATCCAAGCCTACTCTCCTCCCTAATTTTCCATCATACACATACATTATCGTAATAAATAATGCCATATATTTGTTTTTATTAATTTAAGTTTATTCGCAAATATATTTTGTATTGTATCACCAGGTAGGATCATCGCTTAATACATTCTTACATTCATACTTTCCCTACTAGAAATCCTACCCGATAGCTGCCGAACGATTGTAACACTCACGACATACATACATACATGCACATTACTCGTCTACATAATTTCTCTTGCTTTTCAAAACATGTATAACATTAATCATATTAAACATTTAATTTAATTTTAATTTCTTTTTATTTCTCTTAAAATCTCTCGTGTCATTCTCCCCCATCCAACTGATCGCACGAGATCTATCCCTGGTAAGAAGAATTAAGTTTCTTGACTAGAAAACGACCGACTAATGTACGTCTGTAGAGTAGCGTCATAGCTTTCTTGTATCGCTGTCGACCTAGTGTCGAGACTTATCAGTGCGCTCGGATTTGAGGGATCACGTTTCCACGTTTAGCCTTCGAGAGAGCAGCTGTTTGCGTCCTTCCGAGCCCATTCGTATTCCGTTCATATTTTTAATTCTTAATTCTCAATTCTCAATTTACTTCGGGCTAGACGTAACAATGGTATAATGCATAATACAAAAGGTGAAAGCTAACAGTTGCCTCTTGTCAAAATCAATATAAAGATTTCAATGTAAAGATAGTGAGATTATTTTTACTGATATTCGCATAAATATACTATTTGATTATAGTCTACTGAAAAGAAGAAAAAATATTATTATATAATATATAAAGCGCAACCTGTCAAATGACATTTCTTTTAAAAATCTGTTAGCTTCATATCTTAATATTTCTTAGTATTTTTCTAGTTCTTAATATTTCTCTTTCTAAATATTTCTTTAAAAATAAATAAGATTATTATCATTATCGATCAAAGTTATTTTAGAATAATAATAAATTTCATAGAGTAATTTATAAATAATTTAAATAATTTATAAAATAATTATAATTATTTATTTATAAATTATTATTATATAAATTATTATTTATAAAAATAAATAATTTAAATTATAATAACAATAAATTATCTAATTTTGTTTCATTTACTTACAAGTGCTTAAATTGTCATTCATGTATGGCAGTATTTTTAAGATAAACTATATTTGTGATAACATATTTTCTGAAAAAAATATTTGATAAGAATTTGACAGCTTGCGCTTTACATATTATGTAATAATATTACGTTGCAATTTTTTTATTTCTGTAATAGCTCTTACAATTTGTAATTTGCAACGTTGTTGAAACATATTTGCAGTTCGTGCT